GGGAGATAGAGCCAGTGACCTCTGAATTGCAAGTTCAGTGTGTTGACCGCTACACCACAGCAGTGTCCCCAATGAGCGAGAAGCAGATAATATTGAAACCAAAGTAAAAAAAAAACAATCGCAGCATACTTAATTGGCCAACTCCACGATTCACTCACCGGTAATCAAGAGTCAACTTTACCAAGAATAAACAAACTAAAACATCCACACATTTGCAAGAGGGAGGATATAAAATAAAATTGGTGATGCTGGTTTGAATAGTGAAGCAATGGACGGTCATTCTACGATACACTAACTAAACCAAGCGAGAGGTATGACGCAATCATTCATCTCTCCAATTAACTTTCAGGCTGCACTGCCGCGTGATGTCTGGCGTTTCGCTCCACATCGGACGTCACACTGAACAGCGAGCAGCGCGACCCCGACAACACATCGGAGAGCTCTGCAACAGAGCTGTGAAAGCCTACGCAGTTCGGCGTTCATCTCCACTGGCAGCCCTGAGCCAGCAAGGAAAAATTAAACGTTCCTGTAGCAGGGGCGGTTTCTCCACGAAGCAGCCGCCATGTCTTATTTATGATGAATAGACATTCACTTTAGACGAAGACATGACACCGGATAATACATCCTCAATCACTACATCTCCTCCATTCTCCGTAAACATCTACAAAGATGTTTTAATGAGTTTAACTTGTACCCACGGCCTATTTAAAGGGGTGTTGGTGGCCTCTGGCACTAGACCCCTAAGTGGAGCTGATGGGAACGGCTCAAGTGGAAATGCTCCCATTTGCTGGGGCAGTGGCGTGAGGGGGGGCGGTAGCCGCTGATCTGGCTGTATAAAGCTCCTTGGGTGTCATGTGCACCCTGGAAAGAGCAAGTGCCACTGCATTGATCATCATCATCATCAACCATGATCAATCCACTGCTGGAAGAAGGCCCCTTCAAGCCGTCACCATCCCACATGGGTCCGCGATGTAAAAATCCACCTAGAATCGGCATGATGAGCCAATTTCATAACTCCCCTCGAACGTGTTCCCTCCATCGGCCATTACATTCATCTGTGTTCTATCCCCATCTCACTTACACACACGCCTTGCGCCGTCCTCTCTTTATGCACCCGCCATCCCTTCCGCTGCCGCGACACCGGCGGTACAAGCGCATGGATTTCTCCGGACACCGCTTAGGGCCCTGGCTCAGGGGTTGACCGCGCCACCTGCCACCTGCTCTTGCTGCAAATCTTCGGTCCCTGCTCACAGCTGCACTCCAACTGCCCACGCTGCTGGCTTTGATTGCTATTCACAACGTGCTGGTAACACACACGAGTGTGCACGGACGCACACGCGTGCGTGTTTAGAACCCACGGAGAACACACGCGCGCACGAGTTGCCTATAAAGTATTTGTATTTAAAGCAGGATAATCTCACTTTTAAATAAAATCTTACTTCCTCAGACACCAACGCGTGCGGTTCGTGTGCGTGCTCTGTTGGAGAGATTTAACAGAGCAGCTCACCACCGTAGCCTCGAACCAGAATTGTACGGAATGATTTATTACTAGTCCTGCGCATCTCATGGGCTCGTTGCAATGTTGAAACCACTATTCAATAGGCTTGGCTCACGCCACAATGTTTTGGTATTATGTTGCGCATCCTCACTCCCTCATTCTGTTTTGTCATGTTATTATTTTTTCTCCCTGCATTTAGCCAGAGCGAGGGGGCTTCTAACCAGCATTGCTCTCTTGTGCTCTTGCGTGTCCCAGAGCACCATTGCTCAACAAAAAAAAACGTGTGGACGGGGAGGGGGAGGGATGAATTGAAATAAATATTCACGCTTCTGTCTGCATCTGTCTCCCCATTCCCTCCTAACCCTTCACATGATCTCTGTCTTTGTCCCTCAATCTTACTTCCCTCCCACGATTTCTCTCTCCCTCTTTATCTTCCACTCTCTCCTCTCCATCTCGTTTCCCCTGCCGCAAGTCACCTTCATCAGCAAGATGCCACTGGTGCGAGGTGGACTTGACAGAGTCGGTGTGGTTAGGCTGCCGTTTAAACATCACATATCTCTGTTGTATCCCATTACAGCTTCCTGTCAAACCAAAAAAAAAATCATTTATATTCAAATACAAGTGTGGTGAAGTGTCCTTTTTTCAAAATCAGAGCTTCAGATAAAATCCCAGCATTCCCTTCTGCTGCAAAATGACCACGACAATAATCTATTTGATCACCTCTACAGGGAATAAACGCACACGATGTTTTACCATGTGGTAAAGACTGCAGAAGCGACTTAACGTTCAATCCCAACTTTGAAAAAAATCTTTAAATCTTAAGATTGTTGCTCACATGGAATTTACCAAATTACAATCAATAGCCTGGGCTATGACGACTGCGATTCCATCAACGCTGGGCTCAACGTCGCCAATGCTTTCTGACAAGGTTTTGTAGACCGAGAGACACATTGCTTCTGCCAGACGGAAAGAAAATCCCTCAATTTCTGCAGTAATCTCACATTTCTGAGTGCCTGCTCATGTGCTAGTGATGTCAAAGTGAACGAGCACATTTAATGTGGCCATTAAGGCGTCCACATCAAATAGACCACAAAGAAACATGGTCACAGACTTCCACGGTCGACATATTACAGCCCGTTATCAATCAACATTTTTACAACTTACACTTCATTAAGACGCTACGTGAAATTGCGCTGTCTATGCAGACTATGCCGTCTTCAGCACGGCTCGACTTGGGTGTGCGGCGACAAGACGACGCCAGATCCCTCCGCGTTCCACGCCGCCGGTGAGACACCGCCGAGCGCTGAGCGCGGCGCATGCGACTCCCTGGGGGGGGGGGGCCTCGCGACGATTCCAGAAAAATAATTATGACCAAAAAAGAAAACCGCCGGGCGCAGGTGTGGCGAGTCGTAAGGCAGGGTTGTAATAAAAGCCGCTCTGAGCGGAGGAATAAGCTTGCGGGAAAATGTTCACCTTGTCCCCACAAGGAATTCTATGTTGATAGTATTCATTGGCGATCGTGCGAGAGAAGAGACATAGCGGGTTTGTGCAGGCTTAGTGTTCTTCGGCAGGGCAAAGGTAGTTAAACAACAGTCACCAAAGTGTGCAGTTGATTGTTGCGAATGTTAGATATTTCATAGGAAAAGGTGTTAGATATATTTAAACAAAAAAACTAAGCTAAACTATTTTGCATTTTAACAGGTAAGGCCCACTAAGTTGTATAGCTATTTTTCAGAAGCGCCCTGACCACAAATGATAGCTCAACGAAGTGGCTTATCACGTGGAAATGTATTGCAGCGAAACACTCTAAACGCATGTTTCCAATGTGGAGGGTAAAACCGAAAGACCAGGAGAAAAATACACGCGACCATGGGGAGAACATGCAAACTCCAAATATACAAGCCTCAGGGTCGGGATCGAACCCATGACCTCCTGCATACCAGGCAAGGTATTTAACATCTCACCAGCTGTAGCTAATGGTGGCAATATAAGATGCTTTTGTCGGCGGTTTAATAGATGTCCCAGTTACATTTACTCCACTATTTGGAGGGAAAATGTGTGGCTTTAATATTTGCTCAAATGGCTGAATTTAGTGCATATTAAATTTTGGATTAAATAGGCATTACCATATGAAATGAGTTACAGGTAATTAGGCAGAAAAATACTTCCCACATGATGTTCATAATGAGGTTTTGATAGATGGCTTTTAAGTAAATGCGCAAATACACATAACACGAGCGGATGCAGCTGTACATGTCCATAAACAATGCGACACGTACGCGTGTTTGCTTTATAGTTACATGAGGACAAAACACACTTTTTAGCAATAATGATTGCGAGTGCCTACTAAGGTAAACTAGATGCAGCAATATTTATGGCGAAACAGGAGTGTTATTGCCTACACATGAAATTGCGTTTCTAGAAGTGTACATTTTATATGATCACCGTAATTTGGGGTGCCTCAAGCAATGGTCAAGCGTCTTTCCTGTGCTGACATTCATACCACAAGTCATCATTCTAGGATGAGTGCACCAAGGGGAGACCAGGCTACGTTCAAACATCAAACTTCAATGGTCTACACGGGCAGGAGTTGAACCTGGATAGAGTAATTGGAACAGGAGCACTATTCGCTAACTACAATGCTACCTTTCAATTGTTATTCAACAAGAGCTTTAGTCTGGCCTACATAGCATGCTGCTAACGGGCACCTGTGGAAAGATAGTGTGGCAAGAGTAACACACCTGGCCGCATGTGTATACCCAGTGATAATGTTGACATACCAGAGACTAATTTAAATCTGAGTGGATCTAGGAGAGGCCCGGCACCAGCTCAGCTACCCGCCCGCCACTAACGAACCCAGGCTGCTGCTCTACCCTACTGCGCCGTCACTCCCGATATTCGCGCGCGCACCCGCACACAAAAGACAAAGATCCCCCGTGTAGCCTGGCCACCCAGCCCCTCGTATGCCGGCACGGCATACGAGGGGCTGGATGGCCAACACCACGCCCGGCCGCCTTTGTCTCCCCAGTGGCGATGTTTACACGTCGTACCAGGTACTCATTTGAGGCCGAGTCGACCAAGGGGAGGCCCAGGACCGGTTCAAATAATCATTAACCGGCGTTGGCCGTGAGCGGGCAATTGAACCCGGGTCGCCAGGTTCGTAGCGCAGCGCGCTAACCGCTACACCACCGCTCCCCACACACACCCAACACACAAACACACGTACTCTTAGTTATTTCGGTAAAGTCACGTAGGTAAAGAATTAAATTAAAATTAATAAAAATAAAATAATATAATTATTTTATTTTTATTAATTTTAATTTAAAGTCACGTAGGTAAAAAATTAAATTAAAATTAATTTAAAAAATAATAATATTATTTTACGTGACTTTACCGAAAGAACTAAGAGTATGAATCCTTGCAGTCACGAAAGCTTCAAAACTAGAACACAAACACACACACGCGCGCGCGTAACGCGCCGAGGACATCACGCGGCACACACCCAGAGGTTGTCGTCGCGCTGGTACCGCTTCCAGTTGCTGCCCGTGTCGCTGTGCAGCAGCTGGTAGCGCGTCACCCACTCGGACGAGCCGTAGCGACCCTGCGTGGCCACGGCCGTGACCCGCGACCGGCCGCCCAGGTCGAGCTGCAGCCACGGGGAGGGGTCAGCGGGAGAGGGAGCCCAACCGCCCGCACCTGCAGCCCACATGCACGGACAGTCAGCCAGAGGGCAACGACAAAGACAAAGATCCTAGCACCCCCCGTATAGCCTTTGCAAGTATGCAGGGGCAAGTGCCGTGAGCGAGCACCTGTGAAAGCCGGTTTTACGGCACACGAGGGGGTGGGTGGTCAGCACTATGCCCGGCTGCCTTTGTCTCCTTGGTGGTGAAGTGTACTCATCACAGCAGGTACTCATTTGAGGTTGAGTCGATCTAGGGGAGGTCCGGCGCTTCGGATAATTGTCACTGGTATTGACTGTGATGCGGAAATGGAACTCGGGTCGCCGGGTTCGTAGCAGATTTGCGGGAACCACTCCGCTAGTATTCCGCGCACACAGAAACATTGCTTTCTAAAATAATCTTTATTTCATGAAGTGTCTCTCATGTCGAAATATCTCCAAGCACTGTCTATACGAAAACATGTATAAACAAATGAAATTAAAACTACTTACAAGTATAGATAAAATCCAATCTAAATACAGTAAAAAGCAATAATCATAATACTAATGACAACCACACTCGCTATATCAATATGCAGAATTCAAATATCAAGCAAATAATAATGAGTGCACTCACAGTCTATGTACAATACAATCAGGCTACAGGAAAAGCCAAGGAATAAAAATAGATTTTCAAGCTGGATTTAAAAAAAGAAGCGTTCCACAGTCTCGACGCGTAGCAGCAGAATGCGACGATCACCCAGCATTCACCTCTTTGAGATTGGTATGGATAGCAATCTGGAGTCCAGGGAGCTTAATTTCGCATGCACATGCATAACATAGGCAAAGACAAAGATCTCTGTCGAGCCTATAGGAGACAGTTGGGCCAAGTGCTGTTCGCGAGCACCTGTGAAGGCTGGAACAACACACGATGTAGTGGGTGGCCAAAACTACATCCGGCTGCCTTTGTCTCCCCAATGATGATGTTTGCACACCACACCAGCTACTCATTTAAGGTTAAGTCAACCTAGGAGAAGCCCAGGACTGGTTCAGATATTTGCCACTGATATTGGTCGTGAACGGAAATTTAACTCAGGTAGCTGGCTTCCTATCACAGTGCGCTAACCGCTGCACTACCGCTCCCCAGATAGACACGCACAGACACATGGGCGCACGGGTTCATTATTGTGCACCGATATAATGCACTTGCATGTACAAAACACACACACAACCAAAGCGTAAAATACTCTTAGGCTTTTTCGGTAAAGTCACGTAGGTAAAAAAATAAAAATAATAGAAGTAATAATAGAAATAAAATAATAAATCACGACGTTTCGGAGGCAACACAAGTCTCCGTCATCAGGTGGGACCGTCACAGCTAAAATTACTGCATCAAGTCTCAAATCAGTAAATCTAGCTGTGACGGTCCCACCTGATGACGGAGACTTGTGTTGCCTCCGAAACGTCGTGATTCATTATTTATTTCTATTATTATTTCTATTAATTTTATTTTTATATTTTTACCTACGTGACTTTACCAAAAAAGCCTAAGAGTATCAATCCTTGCAGTCACGAAAGCTTCAAATCTAAAGCGAAAAAATACACACAGACAAACACGTTGAGTCGGCAACAGGTGCTCATGGGTGCGCAGGTATCAGATATTGTTTTAAGTTGATTTTGTTTAACCAGTAAAGTACTCAATGAAATGTATATACATGGGCACAGACAAATATAGACACGCAGACACATTACAGCTCAGAAAGAGGCACCTACATGTACATGCACGACAACACGCACCGTGAATGCTCGTTATACACATAGACCTCTACATTCAATTCACTGAGATTATATTAACGCATCAGGCACTGACTTTCCACATAACCATCCATGAAAGCAGCCATTCATGATGAGGTCTATTGCATGACATGACCTCACCATCACTGCACTGCAATGTATTCTAATGTGTTGTTTATACAGAATTTCCCCTGAATCCTAAACATAAGGGTGGTGTCATAGCTCTCAATGAAAGATAATAGCAGTGTTTTTTAGAGATCTCTATGAAAGAGAATGGCGGTCGTTTGAATATACCTCTATGAAAGAAGATGGTGCTTTATTCAAATAGAACTCTTTAAAAGAAAATTATGTTTTTTGTTTAAATAGATTTCTATTAAACAGAATGGCGATCGTCGGCAAGCTACACCAAATGCAGACGCTTGCCTCCTTCAGCGCTGAGCGTGCCCCAGGCACCAGTGATTTATTCATTTCATTTTACATTCTTTGGTGCTGCCATGCTAAATATCCTGCTTGTCGCCACCTGGCTAATGTCCGCCAGTGGAGTGTGGCTGCAGAATCTCTCGCCACGAATCGCAGGCAGATATCAAACGGCGCTGCCATCGTGAGACTTGCGCTAGCACCAAATCCAATCGCAGTGCAGTAGCCCCCTGGTTAAGTGACATCGGCTAACGGTTTTTTTCGGTTAACGTTTCGCTTCCCATAGGACCCCATGGTTTCGGTTAACGTAAAAAAAAATTGGTTAACGATAATGCTTACGTTTTTCACGCGGGCGCCAATTTCGACCAATCCGAGTGCTCGGAAGTGGGGCTGAGCCATGCCCTCAACCAATCAGCGACGTCCATTTATGAGTGTTTAGACCTCGACTGGGCTTTGTTTACATTCTACGTTTCTGTTTTGGCAGTGGAAACAGCTCCCTTGCAGACTCAGGGATTATTTACTTATTTTCCAACTTATAAGTGAATTGGAGTTACAGTTATTTCGATGAACAGTAGTTTTCGTGTAATGGATTAAAACGTTAAACGAGGGAATACAGTACCACCTTTTCGAAAAGTTTTCCACAGTCACTCATGAGATGATTGTCAACGTTATGTATTTTTGCAAAGCGATTTTTTTTCATCACACAGTTTCAAAGCGTATCCTAAGGCGTGAGATAGGAGGGGATAATGATGAAAAGACACGGCTCCATCTTCGTGACTCATAAACACCGAACAAACACCGAGAGCAAACCGCGAAAGATCAATGCAGCTTAGAGCATCAATTTACAATGGTTCCACTTTTTCACGTGATATACGAAGTGGTTGTTGTGCATCCACGAACGTGTGATTATTTCTAAGACACGCGAGAGAGTAGACTCCTTCACGTGTGCGACTAATATTTCCCGCGGATTTACTGACCACTGGCCTGGGGACGTGAAATGATTAATAGAAGAGATGGTTCATTCAGCGAGTGCTTCATCACCGATCCATCGGATGGCATCCTCGGTGGCCAAGTTGTAGTTCTCGTAGACCACCACTAGTCAGCGGGAAGTCATCAACAACACGGGGCATTAGTTTAAATCAGGGATGGGGAACCTTTTTTCTGCCAAGGACCATTTGGATATGTATAACATCATTCGCGGGCCATACTAAATTATCAACTTAAAAATTAGCCTGTTATATTTGGTCAAACATTTAATTAACTCACCCCTAATGTGATGGCTGGAACTGCTTCTCTTTGGCGAGGCGTGTGATGTTAGCTGGTATTGATGATGTTGCTACTCGCAACTGCTTTTCCAGGTTTGCTCCTAGATTGAATTTCGAATCCCGCCAGACCAAATGATTTCGCGGGCCTCATACGGCCCGCGGGCCGGACGTTCGCCACCCCTGGTTTAAATAGTCACAGCCGCAGTCTGGGTTGTCATGAAGGACTCATTGGTGGAGATTGGCTGCGCAAAGACCTTGCCCTGTCTGGAACCTGTTCAGCATAGCCCACGAACGGCCTGGCAGGTTGAAGCCAGGTGCACGACTGTAGAATCCGCGATGAGGAACTGGCAAAGAGATGATTCATCTGGTGAAGATCCATGTCCGATTAAGAATAATTGAATTTGGAGCTTACACTAACAACTCTGCTGAAGTCCGCAAGTAGAGGTCTCGAGATCACTTTGAAAGAATGACGGAACGTTAATTTAAAAGCGTGAAATAGGCGCTAGCCATGCATCTTATTACAACAACCCATGTTTTTGAATTGCTGCAACATGCGCGCAGGATAAAAACTGACAATGAATCAGTTCGCTCCCTCTCAGCAAAATACAGCACAGCACTCGTCTATTGCTGGGCATAAATATGCCCCATTAATAACTCAACAGAGCTGCTACGAGAAGATGTCTGTAATTACACCTGGTACTTAGTCGTTTACCAGACCACGTCGTATCTCATGATTCATGTTCACCCCGCGCTAGCATGTCCTGTGTTGTGGGCTTGAAATGTCATCAGGAGTCACTCTAAATGAGACAAGTTGTGTTTAAAAAAAAAGGCTGAAAATACTTTTCGAATGTTTATGCTTTATATTATAACATAATTAACAACCTGTCATCCCCCTGTATTTGATTAAATAAGAACCGTTTTGGTGGAGTAAGAAGTGGTCATCCTACGGGGAGAATAGCCCCTGTCATAGGAAGATAATTTCCACCACTGGCTCACGGTCGGCAATGGAGAGAAGCACTGCCTTATTATTCATTTCAGCAGCGAAGACACTTTGATTTTGACTTGAATTGGGGTACAAAATGTCCGTCCACTGCTTAAGGAAGGCCGTGTCAGTCATGAGAGTTCTTTGACCATTCTTCATGATGTCAGCGTGCTGCGGGAATCATACTCCCACTGCTGCGCCCCCAAAAATGCAAATGCATACATTGAGATGAACATCCACGAATCTGAGATGGCGAATTCTTGCCCCATGTACGTTTATGCCTTTACTTATCCAATATAATGATTTAAACACATCTGCCCATGTAAATAACATCGAAAGCATTTCATCTTTCCCGACTCCCCTTTTAATACGTTAGTACTTCCCTGCATTTAATCTCAAATTTGTGAGTGGCATAGTCGTTAGAGCTGAACATGGTAATGAAAAGGACAGCAATGTGCCTAAACGCATTTTTTTTCATCAGTGCTCATCACCTGCCATGACATATACTGATCAGAAATATTGACATTCATGAAGAATAGAGAACAAAAGCTCGGCAAAGTCTGGCAAAGAAGCAGAGAGA